TTTATTTTATTATTATTTTATTTTATCTTTTAATGAAATGAAATGAATAAATGAAATGAAATTAAATGCTAGGTTTTTTTTTTTTCTCCTCACCTGTTCCTGCAGTTTTGACCATAAAATCCAGCGGGACACGGCTCCCTGCAGAATTTCCCACGATAACCAGGCGTGCAAGTACACGATCCATCAGCCTGGTTGCACTTGCCATGGACGCACTGGCAGTATCTTTCGCACCGTAGACCCCACAGCTTCTCCGGACACTGGCAGCGCCCCGTGTACTGCTCGCACGGCGAGTTGTTGCAGTTGCACTGGGCCGCGCAGTTCCTGCCCATCCAGCCGGGGTGGCACAGGCATCGACCCGTGTTCACATCGCACACGGAGTTGACGCTGCAGTAGCAGTTGTTGTTGCACTGCGCGCCCCAGGCCCCAGGGTGACATGTGCATTTCCCTGTTTCTTGGTCACACTTGCCCTTTTGGCACTGACAAGCCTTCTCGCACTGAGACCCCCAGCGATTGTGGTTACAGGTACACTTCCCAGTCAAGTCGTCACACTGGCCATTAGGATAACAGTTACATTTCCCCTTGCAGTCGGGCCCCCAGAACTGGGCAGGGCACTCTGTCAAAACACAAAGTAATCAGGACTCTGTCAAGCAATGCATGGAGATTTGAACTAAGTGATAATACTCTAAAGTAGCAAAAACTATTTTAAAATAATTATAAAGATACACTTATACCAAAGAAATCAAAGTGCATTGAGTCATAATAACATACAGTGGTGGGCACAGTTCCCATAAAGCACTAAAGCACCAATAGAGGAACTAATTTCCTGATTTGTGCTTTAGGGCTTTTACTCATTTTAAAATTTATTAGTGGATTAGCACTTGCTAAATTTAGAAGCAGTAACTGAGGTCTATAAATGTTGAACATTATTGTTAACAGCTGACGGTGAAAACTGTCTCACATTTTGTTCTTATATGTGTCACTTATCCACCAGGTGACAATTTATGTGTCATGATCTGTGTTATTTTCCTTGGTTTTCTAGTGTTTCTGTGTTCCCCTGTCTCCCGTGCTGTCATTCTTCCAGCCCCGCCCATGCTCACCTGTTTCCTCTTGTGTCTCCTCCAGGTGATTCTTGTCGTCCATAATTAGTTTGCTTTTATATTCTGTGTCCTGACTTCAGTGTTTGTCCGCTCATTGTGCTGCTTCCCACAGCCTGTATGAGGGCTCTGTGTTGCTTGAGATTTTGGTAAGCTTCGGAGCTGTTTTGCCAGCCATTTTGAGTTCATTATTAAAACCTTTTTTTGCCTTTTGGATTTTGTCTGCGCCCTGAGGTTTTTTCCCCTGCCTGAATCTCACAATATGAACCCAAATACAGCTGTGGAATGTCAATGATAAGTCTTAAGAGAGAGCAACATGGCAATATGTGACTCATGTTGTCTGTCGAAGAATGTTCATGGGTTGATTGGGTTATTTTAGTGCTTTAGAATTAGGGGACCTAAATATTTGAGTTAGTGTTTAAGGGTTAGTGGAACTAATTTTTAGATTAGTGCCACCCACCACTGATAACATGACATCACAAAGTATCAACTAAAACAGCAAGCATTGGTTTTTGGAACTAAACATGGCACAAAAATAAAGGAAATTTGTGTTTGGTAGGTTTTTTTGTTTGTTGTAACAATGCTTCCTATACCACTGGAAAGCCTGGTAATTTCACTTTTAAATGGTGCCACATTTGTAAAAAAACATTCATACAAAGTATAGCTCAACTTCATTGGTCTTAAAGGGGCAATATTATGTAAAATCAACTTTTTGAGTTTTACATCACTTTATAATATTATACTCTCATAAAAAAACAAGCCCAAAGCCTTGCTCTGACTCATTCATGCATGTTTGAGAAATCCTGCAGCGTTTTTAGGAAGCCATGCTGAGGAGMAAAACGACAGGTGGGGACCAGAAACGCCTTTTGGGACCAGAAACGCCCCTGGGACGTGTCTTTAAGCTGAACTTCCTCATGGCAGAGTGCCTCCCCTCCCCNGACCAGAAACGCCCCTGGGACGTGTCTTTAAGCTGAACTTCCTCATGGCAGAGTGCCTCCCCTCCCCCCTCCCCACACACCCCGCCCATAACTCCTGCAGGCTCTCGGGTGAAAGTGAAACCTAACTGTCTGCTGAGCTCTCAACATCAGTTCTCACTCAGTGAAGCTCTTTTCCGATTAAAAATACCTTTGAGGAAATGTATTTTCAGATGCCAAGTAAACTGCATCATGGCAGCCCCCCCCCCCCCCTCCGAAATGGGCAAAACGGAAGCGGAAGATGGTTCTTAAAGAGACAGAGGCCAATTTCAAGGCATTTAGAAGAGGAAGTGACGAGAAGATAAGTTTATTTTCTATTTAAACATAAAAACAGCATTTTAATAACAGCTAGGTGACATAGATACTTTATTATGGTATAGTATTTAAATATGTGCCTGAGAAACACATAATAGTGCCCCTTTAAAACATCAACCTCCAAACACATAAAACGGCACGGCTGTAAAACAAATCAAACCTTACTTGTGTCACAGCTGGCTCCGAAGTATCCATGGCGGCAGCGACATTCATTCGGCCTGACACACACCTCGTTTTCCTTACAGGTGAAGTTGCCTTCACACAGAGCTGAGGCAAAAAACACATGTGAAATTAGCACACAATGAGACATTGGTCATGATGAGATAAATGCTAGCATTACAGTACCTGTTGGACATTCATCCCTTAGCTGCCTCCATCCGCTGCAGCAGACCAGTCCTGATGACCTGGGATCAAATATGTGACACAAAATAAGAAGACAAAGATCGCAATAAAAAAGAAAAATAACACATTAAAGAGGCGACATCCCCTCCTGGCTCATGCGGTTAATACTAAGCCACAAAGCACTGATGCAAATGTTTGGGACATTGTCACGCAATGACCTCATCATGGGTAATTTCATGTCAGTGTAAGATAAATGGTCTCTAAAGGGCTTAACCTCTGAATCTGAACAGTTTATCATGTTCTGGCTCTTCCCAGCCTTTGGGGAAGGAGCGTGAACGCTTAATGGCAATAGTTTGCAGACGGTTAGAGGCCTGACAGGAAAGGATGCTTGTGTCTCCTCTTCCTCTCATGCCTGCGACCTCTTTAGGCCCCCGCAACACGTCAGCTTCCTCTGAATTCTTTGAAGATAGTGGCTCTTTTCAAAAGGAGCAGGACTGGGTTTTATCCTGCTGAAACAGCCACATGTGTACGATCATGGATCTAATGTCTGTGTTTTGACTTGTCATAAAAATAGGTTCATTTTCATTATCATAAGTGATACTAGTTTTATATTGGCAAGGATTATTATACTGTTTTAGCTGTTCTTCTCTGACATTTGGTGATATTGTACAAATGTCAGAATCAGGAATGGTAATTGCGCTTTTTTTTTCAAAGTGACTTTTGCAATTTGTTTATAACTGCAAAGTTATTTTCAGAACTATCACAACTTCCCTGGTTTAAATTTTTGTTTTTTTCTTTTGTCTTTTATGAAACCATCACATAACATATTAAAAAAATCAATGAATGTTGGAAAGCAACACCACGGCCAAGGCTACACTGTCATTCTAACCAAATCCAGCAGCTGATTGTGTAATGTAGCACGATGGAAATGCTGACAAATTATGATAAACTCTGAACTACTTCCTTCAATTCATATGAATCAACAAAGGAGAAACAGAACTGTTACAGAAAAAGAAGTGAATGGTGAGGAGAGGTCACTGCAACTGCATGTTGAACCAACAAGAGGGGAAAGTGTCAAACTTTTAGGCAAGTTTAAAGATCAGACAATTGCCGCTTTCTGTAATTCTTATTTCATTAACAAGTTTAGCTTTGAAAAAAACCACAACTTCTTAAAATGCATGGAAAAATTGATAATCATTTCTCTAAAACATATTTGAAAGTTTCTGCTGTTGACAGGATTCCATGCAACCTTCAGGTGAAAATGAAGACCCCAAACCCAGACCCAAACCAGTGGTTATTCCGTATGTTGCGGGTGTTTCGGAGAAACTGAGACGTTTATTTTCTAAATATGATGTCCCAGTGGCTTTCAAACCCCAAAACACATTACGGCAAAGGCTGGTCCACCCCAAAGATCCGGTGCCCCGGCACAAACAGAGCAATGTTGTATATGCTGTTAAGTGCCAGGAGGACTGCGACCAGTTATACATCGGGGAAACAAAGCAGCCACTGTTCAAAAGAATGTCCCAACACAGACGAGCTACATCTAATGGCCAGAACTCTGCAGTTTTCACTCATTTACAGGCCAGCGGTCACTCTTTCAGAGATGAGGATGTTCTCATTGTTGATAGAGAGGAACGTTGGTTTGAGAGAGGAGTAAAAGAAGCCATTTTTGTGAAGAAAGACCGTCCATCATTAAACAGAGGTGGAGGCCTCCGTTTTCAGTTGTCCCCCTCCTACAGCGCGGCTATTGCCAGTATCACTCCACCTCCTGTTAACAATAGGTGTTAATTAGGTGTCAACGATAGCCATGTGATGTGAGTATCAGTCACATGGAGGCAGGGCTTAAAAGCCTGAATTTTGCCTGAAACTCTCAGACTGAAGAAGTCTCTTGGAGGAGAGACGAAATGTTTCATTAGAGAAGAACCCGTCCAGAAGACCTATACAATTTTTTTCTTTTTGATTTTTTACCTGGATTACTGAGATGCATCAGGACATGATGTTGACTTTGTTTTCACATGACTTTACCAGAATAATCTAAAACTTCCCAAGACTTGCTCATCTTTGATTCTTTTTAGCCCTCTAAAGTTAAAAACACAACTTTCAAATCGTATAATCAACATTACTTATATGAAAAACGATGCCACGAAGGCTTTTAGAAAAAGTTAAGGTGAAAAGGGCGCCCCCTAGAGGTGAAAACACCGGTCCAGATGCAGGCTGAACATCTGTATAACTGCTTTCTTCAATGGGCCCCTCCTCCTGCTGTGGTCTGGGTCTGCGTAGGCTAATTCCTAACAAAATTAGGTCAACGTGAATTTAATGAAAACCGCGTTTATAAGGACAATCAAGTTGAATGACTTGGATAAAAAGCCTTTTCTTTTATTTTAAAAACCAGCGAACAATGAAAACAAATAAAAAATGTTAAGTTTTAGAACCTGTATTTTCATCAAGAGAAAAATCTACATTTATTATGAAATGGGATCAATTTTCTATTAAATAACCAAACTTTCTGAATAAAAAGTCAGACAATATAAAGCACAACAAACTGGAAACTCCCGGACTGGAAACCAGAAGTCAGATTTTCGGCTGTTTTGATTCTTACCCCGGTGCCCTGCACACATTCCTGCCTTTCGGGTTGAGTTGTTGGCTGAAAACGCAGAAAAAGAAGAGACAAACCACCGCAGGAACCGCGAAACAGTTCTTCACTTCCATTGTAAAAGCAGCAGCATCCTTCTAGACGCAGCTTTTATTCCGCATTTTACTTCTCCAAACTACTGAGGAAGTCCCACTGCTTTTTTACACACTCCTTCTTCCATGCGCAGGATCCAGATGCAGAATAGCAACTTCACGAAAAATTCCTGTTAATCTCTATTTTTTTTTCTTACTGAATTTTGCCACATGAAAAGCTCAGTGGTTAAAGCCGAACCAGCAGCAGTTTAAAAACAGCTCCCGAGGTCCAAACCTCCACATCAGGCAGTTTTCTTTCTGCTTCTGCGCTGCGCAATTATTCCATGAAGAAACGCATCCAACAAGTCGTCCAAACATGCCCCTTCTGCTCGATGCGGAAGTTGTTGCAAAACTTTATCAGAAAGTCATAAAAATGATGCCAGTTTATCTTTTGTTTGTGTGGAGACGCGCTCAGTAGGGTCCTCTCTGTGCGCTCTCAGGAGCGGCTGAAGGGAAATTCCTGATTTGTTACTCTATCTTTGGCTGTGTGCGCCATGCCTCCACCACCAAATTTACATACATGGGTTTGTGCGTAACATGGACGCAACACGGACTGTTTTAATGGCAGATAACTGCAAACCATAACTGCAAACTTGAGTTTTTTTCTTTCTTTTTTTTATTCATAATTGATCAAGAGAAAATAACTTTTATGCACTGATTTTCATGCAGTGAATATTCACTACTATAGTCAAGCAAACAATCATAAAACACTGGAAACAAATAATATACATTTATACAAATAACAAATTGGTTTTATAAAACAGCAATTCATCTGAAAGAAAAGTTATCTAAGAAAGTTTGTGTATGTTTGAGAAGTCAGTGTTTCCCATTGTGTTGTGAGACAATAGCTCCCCCATCTGTTCCCAGGCCTGTAGTGATGCTGCAGGTCTGCACCTAAACCCACCCAGCCTGCTTTAGAAAACCAGCCTCACTATCCAGAGCAGGAAAACACATTCAGTTACACTTTGGTTAAAGCAAAGTTATACAATGGAATCATATTAAAATATTTTTTTTACCAGGGCAGGTAGATATAGCAGATATGTTATTTGTAAAAAGGTAAAATATATTTTGCTGCCATGCTAATACAAAACTGGACAATTATACCAGTTTATACCAGTTCTTTAAAGCTAATTTTTGTGCTTTTCTTTTTCTGATGTTAGATTCTGCAGCAAGTTAAACATATTTTGATATGCTAAAAATGTCCACTGACTGATGCATACTTGTGTTTGTTTATTTAAACTAATTGGACTAATCACGTGTTGATCATGTGACATGTCTGCTGTTAGGCCTTCCTTTCATCCTGCCAAACTTCACAAACAAGACAGTCTTGATGATTTTATTTATATATATATTTTTTAGTTTAGTTCATTTTGTATATCTTTAAGTAAAACTACTTCAAATAAAACAAAAGAAAAAAACGTATGTTTTACTTTGGTGGTGGGGTGTCTGTTTTGAATTATTATTAATAATATTATTGTTGTTATTGTTTTTTTTTTCTAGGGAATTTAGATTCTTGAAAAATAAGTTTTACCAAGTTTAGTAGTTTCCAGAAAGTGCGTTTCGCAAAATTTCATAGGAGGAACAAACATTTTCATAATAATGTGTTAAAGTTGTTTTCTGAGAGTTTTCACTCCCAAAAAGAGACAGTTTCTGTTTAATACCCTTGAGTTTGTCCTGTTATGAAAGTTTCATCTGAGCTAAAATTAATTTGGGAGGGCGGCTGTGACGTCACAGGCTTTCCACCAATCAGGCGATTCCTCACTGTTTCACCTCCTGTTTATGTTTACTGTCGCGCGCCGTTAGCTAAGAGGATGTTTTTCTAACTTTGCCCCCCTTCTTTGACAATTACCTTATCTCTGCCGGATGTTTAGGGTCAGAACCGTCTCAGCCCTCTCACGGGCAGATGCCGAGGGTCACCTGAAGCGGTTAGTGTTCAACCGAAGACTCGGGTCCACCGTCACCCCCGGCTCCGAGCAGTGGCAGGCGGACTGTGAAGGAAGCCGCGGCGGCGCTCCGCGTGCTTCAGCTCAGCCACAGCCTCCCAGGAAGTCCGGCAAAACGGCCAAAGACCGCATCACGTCTGCCTCCGCTGCTAATAAGACCTCAGTAAACTTTGACCGGACCAAGGAGGCTTATAAAAGCAAAGACTCATTAGAGCTGCTCAGAAGTTTGGTGGTTTTCAAACTTTGCTCCTATGACTTCCTGGTTGATAACAATACAGAGGTAATGAAGGAGTCTGACTCTGTAGTTCAGCCACTTGGAAAACAGTTTGCAGTTTGTAGTTTGAAGCCATAAACCTGTAACACCAGGATTAACCCAGCACATCCCAGGTTACAATCAGTTCTTCGCATGTCAACAATGCAATTTGTGTTAACCTTAATCAAAGTTTTCAAGTAAGAAATGGCACCTGTGCAAAATGTATTTTCTCGTTTGCATTATGTTCGCTACTTGTCACAAATCATTTTTTATGTAAGTTTAAAACAATACTTTAGCTATGACTAACTATAGTGGTCAAAATCTACTTCCTGTATGGTAAGCTCATTGCTTGCACTGCAAAAACTGTCCACCTAACCAAGTTTTAAAATCTTATATTCAGTCAAAAAGTCTTTTTGATCTTGTTTTGAGACTGATTTACTAAACAATAGGGCTGTGTATTGGCAAGAATTTGGCGATACAATACATATCATAACAGAGGGGTCACGATACGATATATCCTGATATATTGCAATACTGTAAGCAAGGCAATATATTGCGATTTTTTTGTCCAAAAATTATATTAAATAAAAACCTCTTACTGAAAAAAAAGAGGAAAAGCTAATGTTTACTTACAATACTTACATTGTCTCCTACAATGTTAATGCTACCCTCATGGTGCGTTCACACCGAACGCGATTTCAGCTTCAAAATCGCAGCCAACGCTGAAGTTTGAAGCTTGTGCACTTTGAGGTCAGACGCAGGACAGTTGTTGAAGCGCCGCACGGCGACAGCCGCCCCGCCCCTCCCTCCTCTGTCGGGCTCCGTTTAATGTCGGACGAGGAAGTGGCTTTGCTTTATTTACAGACAGCCAGAACGTGTCACGTTCATCAGATAATTAATTCATAATTAATTCACCAGATAATTCAGAGAAGAGGCTCACAGCTGCTTTCAGGACTAATTTTTTCAGTCTGATGAGTCGCTGCCACGCATTGCTGCGGATCAGGACACGACTGCAGCACTCATTTTAGCTAAAGAGCAGGAGCTCCGTCTGTTTCAGGTTAGTGGACCTCATTCAGTAAACTGTCCCGTCGGGAAATATGTCGCTACGTCACACAGTGGAGTCTCTCTGATTGGTTGACGCTGCGCGTCGAGCTGCAAAAGTTCAGATTTCCCAACTTCAGCGATTTGGACGATTTGGACGATCTGAGCGTTCGACGCTCAGATCGTCCAAATCGTCCAAATCGCGCTGCTCTAATCGCGCTTGAGGCGCCGCAGAACTTCCCGACGTTGCTTGAAGCGCCTCCACCATAGACTTTGCATGTAAACCTGCTGCTCCTGACGCTGAAATCGCGTTTGGTGTGAACGCACCATTACTCTCTGGCGCTCAAGAGGTAGAGGAGCCAAATGGCTGGCTCACTGCTGCCAACTAGTGGTCAGAAGCTGAACTACAACATAAAAATGAATGGTTGGCAAGAAGGTTGACATTTTAAACCTTAATTAAAAATCGATACAGGGCTTTAGAATATCGATACAGTATCGGGAAATGAAATATCACGATATTTCAGTGTATCGATATTTTCTTACACCCCTACTAAACAAGAACTGATTGTGTAAGAATAATAATCTTGTTTTCAGAATGTGTAAGATTATTTGCCTTGTTAGTCTGAAAATTTGACTCATTAAGTCAAAATTTTCTGCCAGTGGAGTATGAAATATTTACTTGGTAAGATTCTTGAAATACTTGATTTGACTCAATTTTTCTTACTTCAAGATTCTTACCAAGTAAAATTTTCTTACTCCGTTGGCAGAAAATTTTGACTTAATTTGAGTCAAATTTTCAAGTTAAGACAAATAATCTTACACATTATGAAAACAAGATTATTATTCTTACACAATCAGTTCTTGTTTAGTAAATCAGTCTTATAACAAGATCAAAAAAAGACTTTGGCTGGATATAAGATTTTAAAACTTGTTTAGGTAGACATTTTTTACAGTGTGTACTTTTTAAGAATGCAGTTAGAAAGTTGGACTGTGGCTAGGAAAAAACAGGTTACAGGACAAAATATTAGGCATTAACTAAGCAGAAATCTGAAATTCCCAACTACTAGTGACACTTAAATGGCTCGCTGAATTGTGGTAATTTATATGCAAACTAACTTTGGGGAAATGGTTTGTTTTAAGGGTATTTTCTTTAAAAACAAAAGGCACTTAGCCTTAAAAATGTAACAGTAATATATGACCCATCACATCGAAATGAGGATTAAGTCAAATTTGGTCAAAATGACCGAATCATTTTCTGATTCTTGGCTTTAAAAACTACATTTTGATACTTAGATCATCCGGATATCATTAGCAATATTATTTAATTTGTCTTGTTGGTTACAATAATACATAAATATTTGGTCTAAATCATAATTTTATGTAATTTTAATGGGGATTTTTTTTATGTCATTTTAAAATAGAAACCTCAAATAGTATTTGAATATTRAGATTTCCTAGCTGGAAAGAAACAAAAGCTTTACAGTGAAAATCTCAAAATCTGAAGGCGTTTTTCCTCAAAATCGGGTTTTTGGTTGCTAATGCTCAAAAAATCTCATTGAAATGGTACATTGATAACACGTTTATTTGTTGTATTTTCACAAAATGTCATTTTTTGCAAGTATTTTAATCAAAACACTCTGCCTATTTCTCCATATACAACTTTTAGACTTAATCCTTGTTTCGATGTGATGGGTCACATCAATAGGGGAGGTTGGTTAGTGGCACATCAAACTCCTAAACTGGTTGTAATGACCTCTCTCTGTCACCTTAGATAATGGATTTAGGTAAAAAGATCCTGGGACAGGAACTTTTTGATCAGCTCATGAAGGTGACCTTTTATGGCCAGTTTGTTGCTGGAGAGGACCACGTGGCCATCAAGCCTCTGATCCAGAAGAATCAGGCCTTTGGTGTCGGATCTGTCCTGGACTACAGCGTTGAAGAAGACATCAGTCAAAAAGAAACAAAGTCGGAGGAGAAAAGGTAGGAAATATGCTGCATCCCAACACAATGTAAATATACAAAACTCTAATGTTTGTGTTTAGGTGTATGTTTTATCACTCTTTATCAGATGTACGATAAATGATCTGTATCAAATGGAAATAAAATGAAGATGGATGTTATGTGTTGGCACATTTCTGGCTTCTCTGTTGTGATTGGCTGGCTGGAGGGATTTTTTTTCCATTCAGCGTCCAGTCACATAGGCAGCACAAGGCATGTGGTCTTTTCACTGACGTAAACTTGGACAACTGCTCAAGCCTTATGCAACCAGTCTCTGTGGAGAGCAGTGGCAGCAGTAATGTTACTTCACATACAGATCTGGGCGTTCACACATTTAGACTAATTAGAAGAACTCACCGTCCAAAAGAAAATATAGACTTCATCGCCCATGTAAGTTCCTTCACAGTCGAGTCGGTAAATAAAAGGAAGACAATTTAAGGAGAATTTCTTAGAAGTAAAATAAAAATCAACTTGTAGAATATCTTTAGCATGTATTACTGCACCAAATATCTGACATTTTGTATCTCGTACAACACTTTCAGTTTTTAAATGGTCAGCTGTGGTAAATAAAAAGGCTTTTAGCTGATTGACAGATACTGTAACTACAGTATAAAGATGTGTTGTTTTATGTAATGTTTTTATGCACTTCTTGACACAACCTGGGCTCGAACCTGCACCCTCACTATTATAAGACTGCTGTTCTGAGTCACCCTAATAAACACAAATAATGGCTTTAACTCAGTCAGTTTTATAGATATTGAGCTAAAACTTCTGCTTTTAAATGCTTGCTTGGGTACGCCAAACAAGATCTAGAGGACAATCTGCATTAAACCGATTATGTCTAAGGCAGTGGGTTTCAACAACTCTCCATTTCCTTTCTGCAAAAGAAAGATACACAAACCTGGATAGATGTTGAGAATGGGATAAGTGTAACAATTTGAAATGCACTGGCTTTGAAGATAATTTAAACAATTCCTAATTTTGATTTAGAATACAGAAAATTCGCGATTCGGTTCGACACTTTAGTCTCATGGTTCGATATTTTTTCGATACTAAATAGAGAAATGCCCATGCCTATTTTAACTTGTAATTTATTAAAAATAATTCTGAACATTTGATTAACCTCAAAAGTTCAAGTTCAAGTTTATTTATATAGCACCAAGTCACAACATACGTTGTCTCAGGGCACTGTACATAAAAAGAACATTCTAAAGAAGAAACCAGCAGATTGTGTTGAATCACTTCATCACAGTCTCCCATCCTGAGCAAACGGTGGAGAGGAGAAACTCCCTGCTAATCAGGAAGAAACCTCCAGCAGAACCAGGCTCAGGACAGGAGACCATCTGCCTCGACCGGCTGGTTGGAGGACAGGAAAGAGACACACAAACACAGAAGAACTGGTCCGGGACTGGTCCAGGTGCGCCTTCTTCTGGAAGAAAAAGAAAAAACACGATAGAAATAATAACAATAAACATGTAGAGAACAGAGACTAAAAACAACAGCAGAGTGAAAAAATGTGCTCAGTTTGTGCTCCAGCAGTCCAAGTCTATAGAAGCAGAAATGAAGAATAATTCAGGAAACCTAAGTCTAAGTTGATTCCACAAGAGAGGAGCTTGATAACTGAAAGCTCTGCCTGCCATTCTACTTTTAGAAACTCGAGGAACCACAAGTGAACCTGCAGTCTGAGAGCGAAGTGCTCTATTAGGAAAGTATGGAACAATAAGATGTTTAATATATGATGGAGCTTGGATGTTAAGAGCTTTGTATGTTGATTTGATTTGATTTGATTTATTGATTCAACAGGAAARGATTACTAAAAATCAAGCCTGACTCAGCATAATTGCTGTTTTACAGCAGGTTCCTGTTCTGCAGCACATAAAACACTCAGAA